TTTTAGTTCACTAACTGCACATTTTCTGTTTTCATTTTTTTTTTTTAATTTTTAACAGTCAAATAACAAAACAAAACATTGCAAAGTGCAAACGTGTAAAAGCTAACAAAAAAGGGGGAGGGGGCGGCCAAACATTTTTTTGCTTGGGGCAGCAAAAAATCTAGAGCCAGCCCTGGCAGAGAGGTCAAGGATCTTTAAAAAAAAAACTCCATGTTTTTTGCCGCATCTGGAAAATGGTGTTGCATAGCAACTCCAGACATTTTGTTCTGCTCTCCTCAGTGAGAAGTGGACTGGCTGTTTTCCTAATCCTTTGTGGTTTAAGTTTGAAGTTAATCTGTATGGGTATGTCTACACTACCCCGCTAGTTCGAACTAGCGGGGTAGTGTAGACATACCCTGAGACAGCAGTCTCAGGACCCTTGATGCCAGTGCACACAGACAGCATGCAGCCATGCCTGGCTGTGAGACACAGCAGCTGCTCTTGGGAAAACCACAGTGAACCAGCCCGGTAAGCACAGCCCCCACGGAGCCCCTCGCCTGCTCCAAGCCCCTAGACTACCCCAGAGGGAAGCCCCACACACTTCCCTGGGCTACTTGTCTGAGGGCTAGTGGGAGGAGGAGCGAGGAAGCGATCAGCCTGGCCCTATGGCCACTTGAGTTTTGCTGCAAGGACGGTACACTCCCCAGTCACCCTAGCTCTGTCTCTGAGGACATCAATTGACAGGGGTCTGAGAGCCCAGACCTCATCTGCCATACTTGTTCCCATGCAATGTGGGGATTTATCTAGATCCTCTGTGAACTCTGTTAAAAATCCTAAGCCTTCACAGCTTCCCCCAGCAAGGAGTTCCACAGGTTGACACAACACATGCCAAGTGGCTAGGACACAGGCAAGGGGTTACAATTCATGGAGGATCACTTTACTCCGGGGGAGTCCTGTATGCAAACATACACACTGCGGGGGACTGACTGGGCTCAGGGCGGAGGGCATGGGGTAAAGGGACCGTGTGGGCAGGTCTGCCTGACCAACCCATTATTTTCTCTGTTCTCTGCAGCAGGACCATTCAAGGGATGAGGGACCCTCCAGCAGCAGCACCCCCAACCTTCCAGGCACCAGTCCGTCGGGCCAGGCAGCGGGACCAACTACTACGGTGGCACGTCCAGGCCATCAAGAGAATTGAGGAGGCGATCGCCAGGAAAATCGATGCAGACCTGGAGTGGTGGCAGTAGGCATGGGAACAGTTCCTGCACCGGTGTGACCGCATGTGCAATGCAATTACCACCCTGACGTCGGTCACGCTGTGCACTATGGCATGGCCTTGTCACATGCACCTGCCCTCCCTGTCCTGCCCATGTCCACCCACACAGAAGCAGTAGCTCCCCCCTCCCAGTTAAGAGCCTCTCCCCTCTCCCATCCTACATCTCCCCCCTCCCCATTGTAAATAAAAAGTTCAAACGTGTTCCAAAAAAACCTGTGTTGGTTGTTTATTGGGAGGTAAGGGGAGGGGAGGAGGGAAGAATAGGGGATGGGAGGGAGATATAAAGGGAGCCGACCCTACTATGGGGCCTGGGAGGACATCTTCGTCAGGGCCTCCCGGATGAGCACTCCATTGTGGTGCGCCTGGCGGATGGCAGCTGTGGGGGGCTGTTCAAACATCTGTGCCTCGGCTGCCATCCACTCCGGGAGGAAGGCTTCCCCCTTCCACTCCACGATGTTGTGGAGCACACAACATGCTGCCACAACTTCAGGAATGTTCTGCTCACCCATCTCGAGATGGGTGAGCAGCCAACGAAAGCGGGCCTTCAGCTGGCCAAAGGCGCACTCGACCTGGTTGCAGGCCTGCTTGAGGTGGTCATTGAAACTTGCCCGGCCAAAGATTCAGCTTGACTATGAATAGTCAAAAATACTTTGAGAGAAGAGACAGAAAAATAGTTGTAATGACAACTGGAATACAATATGCAGAATATTTAGATCGCTTAGGGTCCATCCGTGCTGTGTAGGGCCGCATCAACCAGGGCATCTGGGGGTAGGCCATGTCCCCCACAACACAGAGCAGCATGTGGACGTCCCCAATGGTAAATTCCCTCTGGGGGAAGAAAGTGACCACCCCCAGCCCACAATACATTGTCTTAGGATGCAGGCGTCATGTGCCCTTCTGATTGATGGGCTGCACGATGTTCTGGGGCATGAATGGGGATGTGGGTCGCAGCCAGGGCTCCCCCACAGTTGGAAAACCCCAGGGCAGTGAAGCCAGCCACCGTTGCTTCCACGTCCCGAAGGTGGATGATTCTCTGGAGCAGGATGTCATTGATGGCATGGACAACCTGCAGAAGGGAACACAGAAACACAGGGAATGCACCCAATGAGGCCCCTTGAGGGGTGCCCACCCTCCCGTGATGCCCTCTATCCTGAAACACACCAGGGCCCCCTCACCGCACAGGCCCCCCCATACCAGCAGGCCTGTGTGAGGGAGGGATGGCACAAACCCCTGGGAGACGGGGCGTCCCCCACTCTCCCCACCCCCCCAGCCTGGGGTTTTCCCTTCCCCCGGGCAGGGAGTGCAGCCCCTCTCCCCCACCCCTCCAGGACTTACCTGCATCACAACGGCACTGACGGTGGACCTGCCCAACCCGAACTGGTGTTCCACCGAGCGGTAGCTGTCCGGGGTGGCCAGCTTCCAGAGGGCGATGGCAACCCTCTTGTTGACCGGGATGGCGGCCTGCAGCCAGGTGGTACATTTCTGGAGCGCAGGGGCGAGCCAGGCACAAAGCTCCAGGAATGTCTGCTTTCGCATCCTGAAGTTCTGGAGCCATTGCTGGTCATCCCATTGCTCCAGGACCAGCCGGTCCCAACAGGC